GAGATGTTCCGATAAAGGTCTTAAATCGGTTAACACCATTTTGATCGTGCAAATAAGAAATGCATCGTTGGCTAGACCGAATAAACCCGGCACCAGTTGGCATCCGTACAAGATTTCTGCTACCTCATACCGTTTTTGTTGGATTGATATAATTATTTTCACGTTTTGTGCTGTTTAAAATGAGTGGAAACGTTTGTCACTAGTTAGCACTAGTTATTACTATTGTTAGCATTACTATTTTTCAAGTTGTGCACTAATATAGGTATTTAACTTTCTCTGTGCCAAGGCTACAATAACTTCATCTCTATAAAGTTTTTGATCAGATAAAATCCGCAGTAAAGCTAACTTCAAATCGTACCTTACTAGGATGTACTAATATATGTTGCTGTTCTTACGTTGATTTAAAGTATATTTAATGTTTTGCCGATACATTTAATTATTTTTACGAAATTTCTGCAATAGTACCATTATATATTATGCCTTACTCTGATGTATACGTAAATAGATCTGCTTCAATGTACGCCTTATTTTAAGTCGCTCTGTTGTTAGCGCGTCGTTCCAGAACGAGCAAAGTCTCTTGCGTTTACTGACTACAGACCAGCATACACTTACCCAGACAGTTTGCGTATTATCGAAGCGCTGATGTCGGATCCGCAGGTTGCGCAACGGAGTTAGAAAAATCTAAACTTTGATCGATGATGTCTAGACTATGTAAGTTTCCCCTCTAGCAATATCAGTGTTAGCTAGAACCTAGCGGACCCAAAGAATTCGACTCAGTGAACAACAAGACTTTATCGTTTCTGAGCAAGCTAAGCCTTTGCCCACGTTCGGAGTAGACGGCTAATCCTACCAATTGCATGTTGCTACCAAGTGCGCTGTACCACTACATAATATCTGATAAATGCAATCAGATACATTTACAAAAATAGTTTTCAGTTGAAAATTATAAAATTTACGACCGGTCAAAGGTATACGTAGTGAGCCGACAAAAAAGAAATTTCCGCGCGCTAGCTGAACATCATAATATTTACTTCAATGAAGTGAGTCCAGCGTCTTGTCGATCAAGCTATCGTTTGGGTCAAGTTAAAGAATTCGTAAAAAATAATATATTAAAGCTGTTTATTGTCTGATACTTCGGTTTTCGTTGTGCTATTATCAGTTTCGTTTCATAATTGTGCTATTATATTATATATGTGTACTAACCCGGAAAAGTTTAACCTGTAACAGAACACTTATGCATATAAATAAAATTACCAGTGAATAGTACCTCCTAAAGTTGTATATAATAGTTGCTACGCAAATAATTTTCTCTTAGCAAATCTTTACGCACAAATGAGTAATAATGAAGTATTCATTACGTAATTGAATTGGCGGCCAACTTGAGCCTTTTAGTGCAACGCTGATAAAGAGAAAATATTTGAAACGCGATATATGAACACTGAAATTATACACGTGATCCAAGTAATGTGGCCTTAACTTCTGTATGTCAAAATACTATAATAGGACGGACGTCGTGGTAGGTTGGTGGATAACATATTTGCCTGCCGATCTTAGGGATACATTGTGGTCTAGGTCTGAATTCCGGACCTAGATAGGCTGACTTCGTGTCGTGGTGGGAGTTACCCGATTGTCTGTTGAAATGTCTAACAGCGATGCCGGACGTAAAACTCGAAACGGAGAGAAACTAAAATAGACAAAATATTTAAACCGTCCAGTTGAACGAACATTTTGTTTCACAAAAAATATCTATGAAAGAAATATAGAAACAATACTAGCAGCAAAGCTACAAAGCTTCAGTTGTTTGCACAATTTAATATGCCGTAATGTTGTAAATATGGCGACAACAGATCATGGAAAAAGAATAAAAGAAGAATAAGAAATAAACTTTTTAAACTCTCATTCCGAGGCCTGCTTCAAGCAGTGACAAATTTTTCACTCGGCGACTGCGTATTCTATATATATATATATATATATATTGCACTTTAAACAAGCAATCGGTCATTCCGGCTGCGCGTCTACAACAACAATAACTGTTAATAATAGCATAGCAAAATTTGATGATGTCCATTGACGACTCAAGCTTCGGAAAAGGCAATTGTACAGGAAGATCAGCCAAAGCACCTTTGATATAGGCGTATTTCGCCGCGATATATACAGCGATTTGCAATTTTAGTACGATGTGATTATTTTTCTTATGACTATACATATGTATTATGTATTTTACTTATGAGATGCTAAAATCTATTTTGGAATAGAGTCAAGAATAGATGTTATACGGATCGATCACAGACATAGCAAAACCCTTGTATGACTAATGAATCATGCTTTAAACATTGGTTTTGATTTTCGAATTACTATTCTAAATATACGTATATATTTCAAACATTTTTCCATAGTGTTTATATCCATACGATTAGGCGTTCACATTGAGTAACTTTGTTGACCTTTAATATTTAATTATGGTTGTTTTATTTTTGCGACAATATTATGCTTGGGTTTCCATTAAATATCAATGTGCCTTTTTGTTTAATAGGGAACAAATGAGTAGTTTAGTTGTAATCATTTTCAAAATTTAAACTCAATAGAAGTAGCTTACTTTTATTGGACAAATTGGACATCATTGTCACGCATCAATTGAAGAAAGATAGGAACGTTAAGCCGCTTTACGTCAATTTTTTCATGACAGAACACGATTTATTCTTTTTGTTGGCCTAGTAAATAAATTACTGCTCTTGACAAATTATTCAATACAGTGCTAAATATAGCTTATATTACTGTTCAGGTAATATGCCTTTTAAACCGGCTCATATGTGTTTATCGTTTAACAGTATGTTTTTGTTCGATTCTTTCAGCTGCACTGGAGTAAAAGAACACGATGCGGGTGATATCATCAAGTATCATTGTCCCAATTGCCAGATTGGTCATGGCCCTTCAAAATGTACGGTGGTGTCATAGTTGGTCTTCTAGTTATTAGGTTCAATCTATTGTCATATGCTTACGTTTGCTAGTTTGTGTTGTTTGCGTGTATATAGGTAGTTTGAATTTTAATAGTGCCAGTTTGGTATTATTGTTTTTAAGAACTGAATAAAATTAGTTCGTATGTAAGAATTCTTAGAAGCACCAGTGGGATCTGTATGTCCACCTTATGGACTTACGTCAACGGTACACTATGCATGACCTCATATCGATATGAAACAGAGAATTGCACGGACCGGTAAGTGGTTTTTCATAACCATTTTTAAAATCTGTCTAAGTATTTATTATTCGTTGAGGTGATCTTTGTAAAAGATGGCTTAGGTTCAAATTAAGCCGCGAGCATATTTCACCTTGCTGCGGTCCGCTGAAATGATTTGACGCAAAGGTTAACGAGGGCCGAACGATGATCGTCAAACTCGATAGCGTCGCCATCTACTTGACCTTACCACTTCATCGCTGTTGTTGACTGTTTCTCATTGTCACTTACTCTATAATGCTTTAGACTGAGACCTGCATGTATCGCCCACATTGTAACAGGTGTAAAACAACAAAACATACCATGGTTGCACCTGTGTACAAAATGATACGAATGCACCAGGGCTTCAACCAGTTGTTTTTAGTCTACGTACTCAGTCAGCTAGTGTTTACCAAAAGGCATTACTGCCTGTCTGCTGCTTATAGAGTTTCTTAATAGGGTCTTCTCCGATCAAAAAAAATTTTGCGAATGGTCGTGAACACGCCCGTTTGCATTGTATTTCATATCTGTTGTGTATAATTTTCTCAATGATGTAAAGTCAGTTGTTATGGGCACGAACAAATCCACTTAAAGAAGTAGATTGATACCACGCCTGCTGTCTGATAAGTGCAATGCCAATAGAATGTGGAACGGAAGTTCAGGCTAGACATAAAGATTATGACGAATTTTGAACGCTGCGTTTGCCCTCGATTTTATCAGAGTACCTTTAAAAATTCAGAGAAGCTTGTCGTCTTTAGAACTTCCTAATGGAGCAGAAAAGAAATAGCCGTAGCTAATTATTTGGTTGACCGTCTAGCGAATTTATAAGTCGCCCCCGGCATAATCAAACCCCAGGTCACGTTAATTTTCGCTGATGACCGGCTGACTAAATATTTCATCAATTCGTCGGTAGTTCCCATGGAAACATTTGATTGTTTTTTTAATATTGTTTTTACTTTTCCGTTGTATAGAAAAGCATCAAATTTGTCAGCCGGAAAACGTGGTGTCTTTATTTTCGAAAATAGTAATTGTTTACTATCCTACGTTGTTTTAGGTGCAGGCAATAGGCATACTTATGTATTTTACCCTGTAAATACGAAACAATAAGGTCTGGATGATGGCAAAAAGGTAATACAATCGCCCCACCAAATTCACTTTGGCAAATGGAGCTCGGAATTGTAGAATTCATGCAGGCATTTAAATTGGCCCCAAATGAGCTAGACAAACTTAAAGTATGTCCCCTTTATGTGGCCTAAATGGCGTGGGCTAAAAAAACGCTGTTCTTTTGCATGCGTTCCTTCATGATGGGCATATTTTCGACGGCAGTCAATAATTTCACGCAATCTAGAGGACGGAGAAGAATAAATCATTTACGCAGTGTGCGCCACGCAGCAGTACTTCAACTCCATGAATTAGCTAAATTTTTATTGCTATGCATGCACTGCGTCTGCTGTTGGGCCTTTAGGTATTGTTTACTTCAAGAACGTCAACACAGTGTGATCAAAAAATTTCTCATTATATAAGGCAGTCAGCGTCAGCCAGTCGCTTCTATCATTGTGCTGACGGCTTTTCATCTAACTTTCGATTCGGTTATCGTCTTTTCATAGTTCTAAGGCTAACCGTGTATATCTCAATTTTCCATGACTATAAAATCGAGAGGTCAGACAGGCGTCAAATGTTGTCAGTGCCCATGCTACATAGTTACTCATCGTCTGAGTATGTCTTTTAGAAAACTAGAAGACAACATCGAATTGTCACAGAGAGAACCAGTTATAATTACCGCTCTTGTGGTCAGCTTTGCTGTTCTGCTTCAGTCGCTAGGTGCACTATCACCGACATAAAAAAAATAAACAAAGAAATAAAACAACAGGCCAGTAGGCGCGCACCTTTAATTCCATGTCTTGCAATTGTGTTGCCAGCCAATAGCACTTAGAACAGTGTACACACATTTTAGTTTCCGGCTGTATAGAATAACGGCCCTAGCATGCTATTGTGAAAAGTCGGATAGTGCGTGGACAGCGCCTATAGTTAACGCTTCTAATGCCACTCGTAGTGATGATGGTGTGGATTATTTTTGATGGTGGTGATCATGGCAGTTTTACAAAGCGCGGCTGGAATATTCATTCGTTGCTCACTCAGGCGTTACTCGATTATGCTACTCGAGAACGTCGCCGCTAATGGGGAGTAAATTTTAGCGGAGCGTAAGAGCAAAAAAAACGAAGAGCACTAGACAGATGAGGGCTAACTGCGTTTTTTCCGCGAACAGTATAGGACACAAATGCACACGCGAACTAGGGACAAATGGAAGGTGCCATCGTAAGAAATAGCAGCGGTGTCATCAAGCATCGGTGAAACTACTAGCGGTGTACGAGGGTGGGTCGTTTGACGTAAATACATCGACGGACCTAGCAAAAGAAGTAAAAAAACAACAAATGCTAATGTCTCACATTACAAAAAGCGGGTACACTTAGTTTAGATCTAAGCGTAGGCGGCTGGGCTCACTGTCAAATAGGATATGGTGTGCTGCCCAAAGTGTAATAAGGGCATTAGCTGCAGTACTATTCTGCCTAGTGACAATAATGATGATAAAGATGCTTCTAATGATGCGCGCGTTTTGCCTGCTGGCACTTATCGAATTGTACCTATCCAACTTAGGGAAGGTACGAACAAACTGGCATCGGCACGACTACAGCGACCCGCTGGCGGACGAGAAAAAAGTTCAAGCTGGAACTCATGTCTTTATTCAAGAGCTCAAAAATCGACCGTTTCGCAGGTAGGTAAACGAGTGAAAAATTGTTGCATGATTCAAAACAATGTATTATGCATGTACTTATAAAAAGATTTCGCATATATAAAAAAATAAATAAATAAAAAAAGACTTATGGAATTGAAGTTAGGTACGTATCAATTAAAATGTATTTGTAAGGTAGTAACAATAGCTTACGAAGCAATTGAATTTTTCTGTCGAAACCTTATTTAGCAATCGAAACTGTTTTTCTTGATAATCACCTTTTCTCCTGTTCATTTTAACAATATATGTTACTCCAAATGATGACACGATTTCTTTTACTAGTTTAATTAATGATGATGAAACTAAACAAATGGCCATCACAAACGCCGATTACATAAAGATTTTTGCAAATCCAATAATAGATATTGCTTAATTAATGATATGTTATTACAGCCATGTGATGTACGAAAATGCTACATGGCCTCAGGTGTTTCTTTAAGGAAAATCACACCCACTTTTCTATAGGACAACACAAATAGCAATGTGGTTTGTAAATTTTTAGTTTGCTGTATGACGGAAAAAAGCTTCTACGCATCCTAATCACGTTAAAGGCAAATATGTAGGCAAAGTCATCTCGGGTTTTTTTCTATGGCTATTCATGACTTCCAGCTTCCCATTCAAGATATTATTTTATAGCATACGCTATACTCGACAGATGGATGCCTTGACGGGTCCTTTGCAAGATTTCAATTTAAGTCTTAAGCTTGTAAGAGCCACTGTAAAAAAATAACTGATGACGAATCCATATTTCATTGCCTGACCCTTGTTGTTGTTGCGGTTTTTCAAATGATTCGTAGCTCACTCTTGTTGTTTTACCTTGTTTTACCGGATATAGGGCACGTTAAGTGAATTCAGAACAACTAACGGTTGTTAACTGTAATATAGACATCTCCAACATGCTGTTTTTTGTCTAATGTGACTTCCATTCGTTTCAGTAATTTTTGTTGTTCAAATCTGCGCCGAAATCTCTGTTCTCTCACACTCGCATTGTATATTACCGAGAAACCTTTTAACAATGGCTTTTAGTGACGTAACAATGGTATTGCGGAACTCGTTGAAGTCTCACTTAAATATGCGTTAGAAAATTGATTTAAATTTGAGGTGTTATGGCTATGGAAAGTGTTTGGTTCGTGAGACGCTTAGCAGCAAAAAGCAGTTCCTTCTAAAAGCTCTAATAAATTCCTCAGAGAGTGCAGCCTCGGAGAGTCTCCCTTCAGAGAGGCCTAGACTCGCGTGCTGTGTCTCAGATGTGGACACCTTCGTTAAACAGTACGTGATTTTGGGCCTACTCTACCTATTAGATGGTAGCTGCCACAATCTAAAACCATTCCGGACTTCACTTGTGTTTGTGTACCGGATTTCATCGATTTCTAATTTCGATTTTTTTTTTGTATTGAAAAAAAATGAAAAGAAATTTAAACAGAGTGCAAAATAACTGAATGCGACTATTCATTAACGCTGATGTTCCTTTACAGTGGACTAGATGTCACAACGTGCTTGTCGGCCAGCGAGCTAACACTAGCTTATCTGGAGAAAACGTCATTTATGAATCCATTACTTATTGCGGACAAAGAGGGCCTCGGTCTTATGTTGCCGCCGCCTGATCTATCGGTTGGCGATGTAGTCGATTTTATTGGACCGGACTACCTTGTTGACGTAATTGATGTTCTTAAACAAGAGTCCATCAAAATGACGCTTGCAGAGTTCGCCGATTATTACACCTCATACAACCGAACAAAAGTTTTTAATGTCGTCTCGTTAGAATTCAGTGATACGAGGTATGCGTGAGCAGAAAAATTTGATCTGTCTAATAAATGATAAGATACGTCATATATCATATTAGGAGAACTGTTATCACTGTGATTTAGAACTATGTGGAAATGTCACCCATACGTTTGTGTTCCATACCATATATACACATAAGTAAAAAATTTAATTAAGGTCACAAAACTTCGAGAAACTTTCCGAGGGTACTAAAACACCTTGCCTTAGGAAATTAACTTCTTATAATGTAATATATTGGTATTAATATGTACTAATAATAATAGTCAGTAAGTGAGTACTATTTCATGTAGGAATATGAATATAGAAAAGGGCGTGTACTTCTTTGACAGAGGAAAAGGACAGATTGTTTTTCTATTGATGATTCGTGGGTTAAAAGCGCGTTAGCGTCAAGTTGATAAAATCATATTTTTAAAATATTCTAGTTGTCACATGCAACATTTGATCTGTTTTGCAGACTATCCGACTTCGTACGCCCACCTTCACTTGTATCTCAAATCAGTTGGGTAGAACAATGTTGGCCGCGATCGCTTGCATCCGTGGGTGACCACCGAAGACCTGCTGTGATGAAGTACTGTCTCATGGGCACAGAGAATAGTTACACTGACTTCCATATTGATTTTGGGGGCAGCTCGGTGTGGTATCACGTACTTCGGGTAAGCGATTCTTCTGCTAAATACAGTTTAGAAGCGTAGAGTATGTTTTGAAGAAGAAGCTGATTTCCGAAGGTTTAGTACATTTTTATTATTAGGTTTCAAAGCGAATTTGTAGGGCTGAAGTCCGGCCGTGATTCGGTTTTTTTGAAGTGCACAACTGATGAAGGCTGATGAACGATTTATATGCTGCCATGTTTTCTGTTATGTGCACTAGACCAAGACGACTACATGTACACATGTGTTAAAACGTTGCAAACAATTGCTATCTAAACAAATAAGCATGTAGGCAAACAAAACATAAACGGGTAGAGAAAATTTGTTAAAATCAAGTTCTTAAAAGTTAAGGTTAAAGAAAGCTTTTACAGAAGCCCTACTGTGTAGCTCCCTCTCGTACTGTATTTAATTACCGTCCTTGTTTTGTGTTTATTCAAACGCATCTATGGATAATCCGAATATCGATATCCATTGTTTTCACGGTTAAGATTTGCAACTATCTTATGGGAATTTATTGTGTTAATATCAGACACTCTCATTTGTGTTATTATCATTACCCGTTTGCGCAATCAACAAGTCATTGTCGAATTAAAAATATCGTTTTACGAAGATCTTGTGGTACGCTCTAGCCTAGCATTCGGCTGTTTTAATCTATTGCCACATGAAAATCAACAGGTGTGGGCACAGCCGCGGCAACGGCAGACATATTGATGACAAACATAGACATGTTTTGAAGCCTTGCGATTTATGTCAAGATACCAAGTTAATGTAAAGATAATGAACTGCAACAGCCTCAGCTTGTTGCGCTTGAAAATATCAACTACGTCAGCGTACACACAAGTACACCCGTTGCTGTCGCTGCCATCGCGTTTCTCGTTGTCCGCGCAAGTATGCGTGCAACAACCAGCCTGCGTCAACCTATATATGAATCCATCCGACAACTGTTGGAGTTCTCACTTTTGCTATGATCCTATATTATACGTATGTCGCAAAGAGAGTAATTAGTCATCGAAACAGCATCTGGGCCTAACCTTCACTCGTGGTCGTGCCAGTATACGATTCGCAAAGGCCTGCCTTATGGTTATCATAAGAATCTCATTCATTAGAACAAGTGTTGTTTGTCGTTACTCTCACATTTATTGACAGTTTTATTTATATAGATCCATTCGATAGCGTAATTGACATGACTGGAGTCGTTTTTTTTTGTTCAGAACTCTCTACTACCAAATCGGAAGTAACCAGTAATTGGTAGATACAGTGGTTTCAACTTATTGACGAAATATAATGCGTAATTACATAAGATGATCTGAGCCGGCCTGCCGGGCCTCTGATCTGTCTGCTGATGTTTGACACTGCTGCAGTTGTATTATCGTAATAAAGACGACAATAATAAACACCCTATGGCACACGAATATCGAGGCAGTAACGTGACTGTAACTGCAGCGACTATGTCGAGGTAAAGTCGTATTTATTTGTTGCCGCAGTACGTCACAAACGCGGTGAAACAATCGAAGCGACCTTTGTTAATATACTTCAATATACATCCGACTCATAACAATAACCGTATTAACGAATGTGCCGCGATATTTTTTGGGTGCTCGTCGCATACGAATGTTACCCAGCTGTACGGTTTAAAACAAACGTACAGCTGGGCAAGATGACTGGTTATCAAATAAACTCAATTCATTATCTCTTTAAAAAAATTTTAATACTGACCATTATTACTGCCAAGTATGTCTGCGAGAACAAGAACTTACTCGTCACGCTGTATGAAGCAATCTTTATTGGTACTGCGCACATCTACCTGACAGTTTGGTAGCGATGTAAAATGTTGTTCCTGTGCTCCGATTTTTCTTGGAATTCTTTATTTAGCTAGCTTTAGTATGATCGTATCAAACCCGATAAATGTTACAAAGAAAACCGCATTGCTTAAGGTGTCTGCTCATATTTTCATCGAGCAAGTTTTATATCGTAGTTTGGCTGACAGGCCTCGAAATCCTTAATAAGATTCTTCAAACCGTAAATATAATTATCATCGAGTTTACCATTCTCTTGATCCATTTCGTGCACGTGAGCGAAGTCAATAAGTTTAACGGTCGCATGTTCTTTTTTTGCTTCATATATAAAAAGAATTGAGCTTCCATAGAATACGAATCGTCTTTGATTCATAAACCATTTATCTATAGTTTTCAGCTGATCGAACATGAGCTCTACACAATTGGGATTTGAATTAGTGAACTTCTTGATGCCCTTGCCTATAGTGTCCTTCGTTAATCGAAGACAGTAATTATCACCATACATTTTGAACTTGCCTTCCTCATAAATTCTCATCGCTAATATCCTATAGCCAATATCTCTCTGTGGCGGAAATTTACTTTCGTGTTTTTCAATTTTTTCGGGAGTTGCATCAGGCCCGTATGTGACTCGACCAATTTTGATATCGGCGATGCATGGAAGTTCGAAGCCATGGACCAGATCTTCTATTTTGATGTATTTAACGGGGGGGCCGTCCATACCTGGAACGACGTAATCTGATTGAAATTCACCGAGATATTGGGCCGTTAAGCCGATAATTCCATGCAGCACCTGGTCGCAGCATTGCTGAGCCTCGGCAAAGCTGGCCGTGCAATTCTTAGCATGTTCTGTTATTTTTTCGTAGAAACCTTGTTCTCGTATAGATCGTACATCATTTTCCACTAGCGGTTTGAGTACCGATCCGTCGCTGTGAAGAAGAAGACCCAATTTTGTTTGACCTTTTCCATGGCGATGGCCTGCAACTTGGTGATATAGCGGAAAAGTATTTGTTGGATATGTGAGTTTTGGATCTGGCTCTTTAACCGCGCCGCATTGAAATTCCATGCTTCGTTTTCGCCCTCTTACCTAATCTAAACTGACTATCGTAAAATAATAACAGAATGGAAAAAGCAAAGGAAATCCGTTATTTAGCATTCTGTCCAGCAAACTACAAGAAATCACTAACTAACAGGCGGCATAGGTTGTTTAGTCTTCAAATCAAGAGGACCGGTTTCTATCCAGCACCTCTGGTATGTGTGTATTCGAAGCCATTGTCTGTTTAAATGGCGAGACAGTAGTAGCTATTCAGCAATCGACGTATACTTGTAAAACGCAGTACGGGCAACTTCAAATAGACGTACGTACTGACTATACGCCTTGCATATTCAGCATCTATAATTGAAAAGCACTGACTGTGAATAGTACATAGTAACGCTGAACGCAACCAAAGTTTTCCTACCTGCTAGTTTTTGTATCTATCTAATACGCTCCCAAAAAACCTCGTTAACAACGATATACTCGGACCAAAGCCCTACTGAAAGATTCACTCTGAAGACTTTCAACCAGAATTCAGATAAAAACCTAATGTTTGCGGGATAATAGATACCTTGATAGCGAAATCGTCCGCCATATATTGTCTTTTATTTTTAAACAGGGAGAAAAAGTATTCTACTTAATTCGTCCAACAGAGGAAAACTTAATCAAGTACGAACGCTGGATGGCTGCAGCGGATCAGAGCGAAATATTTCTCGCTGACGAAGTTGACTCCTGCTTTCGTCTGGCGCTACGTGCAGGGGAAACTCTATTTATTCCGACGGGATGGATTCACGCTGTTCTCACGACGACTGATTCAATGGTTTTTGGTGGGAACTTCCTTCACTCGTACAATATCGGTCTGCAACTGAGGTGAGTAGATTTATGATATACACCCGTAACGGGGAGTGCGCCGTCGTCTATGATATATATAATTGGCGTCTCCGAGTGAAGATAAAGTTTTGAACGCGTATTATTTCTAAGCAGCTATGATTTGTATACCTCCTGATCGTTCGATTTACAGTTGCTACGTATAATATTACTCTTTAAAGAATAAATCGCCCCTATCTACTTACGAATATATGCATGTTGTTCATCTACGTTAGTTCGCAATAGAAAGAACTCCAATACAATTTGTAATAAGTCCTTTTTAGCCTTTTTTTCCTTTTTTTAATAGTCCTTTTTTTTTTTTTTATTTTTGAATGGTAGGTGTTACTATTTGTGTACATGTATGCAGTTGCTTACACAAATCATTTTTCAGTGTCTACGAAATGGAACAACGACTTAATTGTCCATCAAAGTTCATGTTTCCATCGTTCGAAACTACGAACTGGTTTGCTGCTGCCCGCGTTATTGAACAGCTCCGCCAGAGTGTTCGACCAGCTCCGTTTCTCGTCAACGGAGCGAAGGCTCTTTTAGGCGAACTGCGTCGCTGGGCCAGCGAAGCTCAACAACCTGGCGGGCAAAATCGTGCGGAAGCAATTCCTGCTCAAGTTAACGTCCCACTTATCGCTAAGGTAATTACAATTACAAAGATTGTAATTAATTCTTCTGATATGTCATTCACAATTGTTTAGAATTTCGGAAGATTGGCGTTTTCTTAGAATGTGAATGACTTACCCATTACTTTGTAACAAAAATTCAGAAAAAATAATAGCGGTAGTAAGTATAAATTTTATATATTTAAAGACAATCAGTAATAGTGTTCCTTCTACTGAAACGATGTTCATAAACTTGAGTAAGTTAGTGACAGCGTTTACCTTTAATGATCGCTTCCCTGCTATTATCGTCCTTCAGGAGCTCGCAAAAGAAGTGAAAAACTCCGAAAAAAAATGGGGCAAAAAGAAAGGCAAGAGAGACTTTTTCGGTGGAGGTACACTCCACTCACCCCAATCACAAGCTCTTCGCGTAAAATTAAAAAATCTCACTGCAATCGACACAGGGTATGTAATTTCAAAAATTAGTGCATTTTGTATTACGTAACGGATTATTTCTGATGTATATATATATATATATATATATATATAATCTCATCATTAGTATAAAAAATATATAATACTGTTTATTAGGAAATACTGGCTTTTAGTTGTGCCAGGCCCTATTAAAAAACTCGTGTCATCATCCTTACTATTATATAAGAAGTTCCGTAAGACGCAAACAGTTATTTTCCTTTTCGTTTTAGAATCTGATTCTTTATTTTGTTTGTTTACTTAGTGAAAATCTACTCATCTTCACGCATTTACAGTAATTCATATTCTGCTCGCTCTGTCTTACACCCTCTTCACTTTTTACGAGTGTTCTTATTGTATTGCGATATGTTCTATCGATCTTAACGACATTTTTTTAACTATACCCCAATCCGATTTTGTCCATCTTGTATTTACTCTTATCAGCCACATTAACCTCCTGCTCTCCTTTTGTTACCGGGTCAACAATCATGATTAGTCTTTAGCCCATCCCTACACCCTAATTAGGTTTTTTTTCGTATTAATGAAATTAGGCATCCACTAATAACCTCATTTCTTGCCATACTCTTAACACCCACATCATACATTGTGTTCATCTTACTCGTTGTTTTCGCTGTGCTTAGTTCGCTTAGCTCGGTAATTGATCTCGAGTCATACTTTTATAGTTGTTGTAGAATTCTTAGCATCATCCAGACCTTTAATCTTCGTTATTACCACATACTTTTATTATATTTACTTATATTATATCACATAATTTTAACGCATATATATATATATATGTTCTTTCCACCATGCTCTGTGATCATTGGAGCAGAGGCAGCAATAACACATTCCCACTATGTCAGCGAATATTCTAATGAATATCGGTTTCTTATCTTCCATTCTATACCGGTCAACGTAGCCAGCGTATTTGGAATACAAAAGCATTCCGGACAGAACTAAGCTAAACATTTTAACAAATCTGTTTTTGCATAGGACGCGAATTATTAATACAAAGAACAACAATATATATATATATATATATATATATATATATATATATATATATATATATATAACATACGTAAAAATCATGTACGTGCTCCGCATGTGAGTGGGTGTGATTTTGAATAAAATGATTGGTGACGGATACAAAAAGCAGTACTATACGAATCCACTGAGATCGTTTGAAGCCATATCGGCATTGATTCGCTTGTCTGAAATAAATACAAGGGGAGCAGTCACATTTATAGATAAAAAAAACAAGGCTGTGATGGGAATCAATGTGTTATTTGAAAAGTTTACGGTGGTTTATCATAATGTAAACGAGATAGTAAAATACGGTATATCAATACGCCGTTATTACAACACAAACAAGTTATATAGTTACACTGATTGGTGGAGTTGCCCAATCTTCGCGCCATAAGGCATGTAGCATCAACATATCACACAACGCAAACGTTCTGCTACACCTTTTACCCTAATATTATATATATATGTATATACTACTATATTATGATTAGTATTGTTATGTAGTTATATTGTCTCCGTGCTTTTTACAGCTTAATGTTTGCTTTGTTTTTTTTCTTTATAGATAACATTTTTTTATTATTAATAGCTATTCCTTAGCTAATCTAAGAGTCGTAGCTGTCCTTCATGATCATCGATTTCTTAACTGTGGATAATGACGGTATAATACGTTGAATGTGTTCACTTAATCGCGCAGGCTACATCGCATGGTATTGTTCGTTCGCAGGGTCTTATAATCCTGTTCATGTTACTGCGCTGAATTTGTCGTAACGTCATTATCGATAACTACTTAACGGCACTGACTGGGGATTTCAAAGCTTTTCTCAGTTTCATCTTCCTACAACATTTTGTTTTCACATTGCTAGTGAGTGAATTTAATTTATAATGGCGCAATATTATTTGCTGCTAACACTCGGTATTTTTACCATGTATTATAACATAGGCCTGGAGCCTGCACGATGCCCATTGAATGCGAGATCCTTGTCGCTGTTACCCTATATCCTACGTTAGCGTTTCGCTTACGCATGTCTTTCACCGATAACGATGCAAAAGTATAGCTTCAATTTTTTTCAGATTACTATTGAACTGATTCTGATTTTTAAACAACTAATCTTTGCCACGAACCAACAAGTCGCCGTTTATGTTCATTGTATTCTCATAGTTTTTTATTACTAATTTAAGTGGAAAAACAATGAATCACTCCTTTGTCATCTTGCAAAGTCGATATAGTACCATTATACCCCCAAGTCTATATAATCTATATAAAGTCAAAATCACTGTACTGAGAGCCGTCATTCGGACTGATATACAATCACATATGCTCTGGCAGATTTCATTATCGAAATCCATATAGATAGGCAAGCTTTAATCTCACCCAAATTACCAACATTTACTCAGGCACAAATGATCCGCTTTAGTGGTTCTACAGTAAGTTACAAACGACCCGGCTGGGAAACGGATATATACATGCTTGTTATAGATATTACTACGGTTATAGTAAGGTTTTCCATTCTGCATACAAAGACCCAAAAACATGTTTTTTACAGTGATCGCTCCTCTATCTTTTGTCACTAGAACTATCAACATCGTATTGTTTGATGTCTCCTTCCCACGTTTTTGATTCTAACGTATGTTAATTAACGTTAATTAATTAGTTAATTAACGTATGTTAATAATCTAACGTACGGTAATTAAATCAGTGGCCTATGAACGAATTCATCTCTGCCAGACCATCATTTTTTGACATAACACACGCAGTTCAGCATGGATTGTGTTTTAAACAATAGACGTGCTGCAAGTAGATTAAGACATGTGTGGCTGTAAATTGTGTGTTATCGATAACGAGGGTAATGGCGTTACTGGTGGGTAATCACCTCAATATGTAGGCTATCTTTCTTATTGGAGGCTATCAGTTCATTCAGTCTATTAATGGACCTAAGCGATCTTAGCCTGGTAGGGTATGTGAGTGGTGTTAATCATCGAGGACACTTTCATCATACGATCCCCCCGATTCGCCCGTTGGAGTTGTTGGTTGCTGTGTTCCAGGGCCCATTGCCGTATCTCGAAAGATGTTGAATTGAATACCTTGCTGAGAAAGGATATCTTTTAGCATTTGGATCTCATGTACAGCCGATTCGTATTTGGCACGCCAGTCAGAAACTTCCATTTGAAGTTGCTCATTTTCCTGATGAGAAAGAAATCGAAAGGAGAGAGAGGATTAGCTTACTTTACTAGATCATACATTTCCTACCTTTAATATGAAAATCAGATACAGCTATGAAGAATATGAAATCTTTTTTCTATATCTACGATATATAAGACCTATTTCTCTATTTCTATTACTATTACGCTAGAACGTATTTTTCGCAAAATATTGTACTCGTTGTATTTCATTTACTAAATAGTAAGGACTCGATTTTCTGTTAGAACACCTCACTGAGAAGGTTTGGGCTTCAAGCAGAGAAGAATATCTAAGATGCCGCCTAGTAAGGAAACTTATCGCTTTGAGAGCTCTTCTCTATATTATACCACATTACCAATAAGAGTGTATGAGGCAGGCGTTATATCTGCCTAGAAGATTTGTCGATGTTACCTTGATGAGTTGATGGCTTTTGTCAGCTTTTTCCTTAAGCTCATTGATATAATCACAAGCTTTACTTAGTATAATCCCTTTTGATTGTAATGACTGCGTCTTGTTAGCTCCTTGTGGACTCTCGGAGTTCAGGTTACAGTCGGGTATGATACGGCTGAGCCGCAAAATCCACAAGTTGATTTTGTCCCTCCTGCGTCGCTCAACTTCGTTGTGTGTTGCTCGTCGCCGCTCGTCACGTGCCACTAATATTCATACCCATCATAGTAACATAGTATAAAAATAAAAGTACACGCCATTTAGTTATCAACTTGAGGCTAGTTGCACACACACGCTAAACTTTATCTCGCCTACTGGAATCGTCTACATCAGACTTTTAATGGGGCGGTGCGCTAGTTCCATTCTCTTATGGTCCAAGCATGAACCAAAAGGTCATTCGCTCATTTTGTTCGTTACTTTTCATTCCTACAGAACATTTATATCCACTCAGCGAACAGATAAAATTTGAAATTCCACAGTCTCAATCCAGCTTCTATGGGACCCGATGATAGGACGAAGTGATCTAATTACTCACTGCATCATCGACTAACACACCAAAGAAAGATAAATCCTGTAATTCATGCTTTTGAAAAACAAATGCATGGGTACAGTTATTTCAGAGATATTTCTATGCACCTATGCCATATTATAATGCCAATAATCTACAAGACAATAGTGGGTTTGAGAAGAAAAAAATGGTATTCTGCGTAATCTAATCACATTGTAGAGAATGCGAACAAGCGCTACGTAGAACTACGTAGATCAGACGGGTTTAGCTCACACAATAATGGGTACGGACAATGGATACACAAGCATTACGCAAAGCATTAGAGCCATTCCTGCAGCCGACAATAATAATATAATTTGAAAATATAATTTTTTCCGATTGCAACTATAATACAGTAGTACTCACGCCCACTAAAGCAACACATACTTGTCTTGGTTATTCGAGTTGTAGACGCTGTTGGCGACGTGAACGTTGCCGATGAGTTTTTTGAAGGCATAATAGCTCGCTGCGAAGCCGTCTGAAAATTTGCCAGTTCAATTAGGCAGGTAATCAGTAATGGTATGAAGACGTAAAAGTTTGTAGTGGACACAGCTTAACAAGTTTGTTAGCGTAAAATTCAGTTTTGCTTTACAAACAGTAAGAGATTATTTGAATATCCAAGACGCACATATGGCAATATGCATGTGTATCTAACGGTTTTATTCCGTAAAAAAAAGTTCAGTAAATTATATTAAAGAAATATACTCAAATTACCAATGATTCTCTTAGGCCAACTAGATGTCAAGAAAATTATGATAAACCAGATAATTCACCTTATCACATTGCATTACACACAAACCTTCTATTACACCCGGTAATAACTAAGCTCATTGTTATCATTTGTATTATTACCGTGATGACGGCAGCATTCTCTGTCGGCGCCATCATAACATAAAAGGGACCAGTCGGGGTAGTTGCTAAGGCATCTGTTAGAGGGGCATTTGTTTGGAAGACTCCATTCGTGCTTCCGACTACCTGAACCGCAGTAGTCCCTTCAGCAACAACGGTTGTTCCATCACTGCCTGATACCTAAAATTTGGGAATAATAATTTTAGGTATCTTTCCTTTTGCCGCTGTTGCTTGTATCTTCAGAACCAACTTCTTAAAATCTCTAGATAAGCGCTGTTTTTGCGTGTCTACGCCTACTAATCATCTCATCTGGGATGATAACGTCCCTGACGAACACTGAAAAAGATGACGATACTGTACCAAAATGGAACAGCTATTTCAGATTGCGCGGAAAACTCAACACAGTAAAATATTTTCTTCATTTATCGTATATGCAAGTAGATTTTACAAACAATGGGATATACCTAGATTCGAAAAGACAAGGACACACTTTCTGTCTATTTTGCGGCCTATAACCTCAATTCAATGATTTTGAGGTACACTATTTTTACATGTAGAAATAAAATAGCGGTGCTGTAATATACCAAATAACATCACCAGCTGGTATAACTCAGCAGGATTTTAAAGATATACTTGTTCTGAATAGATATGAAATACGGCGTATATTAACTCAAGCTGTAGCATTCCTCCCGTTCTGAAAACCGTGCCCGAATGTATACATGTTGTTTACGAGAAACGCAAATAGAAAGTGAAAGCATACCTGCGTTAAGGCCAGCTGCCCTCAATAGAAGCTCTTAAGAGTGAACTGAGGTGTCCTCTTGACCATGATTGCCACATTGTCAGGTAACACAGCTCCGAACTACTGTTCAATTAAATTTTGTTTTGGGAAGCGTATATATTTAGGTTTGAAACCATTGGTGTAATCAAGATGCAGTAGCTATCAGTGTTGTTCTTCTGTTGGTACAACGGAAATATGTTTGACTCGTTACTGGTCTTCCTAGAGTTACATTAACTCCGGAGAACCTGCTTCCGACGCACTAGACTTGGCTATGAACTAAGCTCGAAATAATCACCAGCTTACCTATACTTTTTAAGCGATCTATTTTGCTCTATCAAAGTGCAGATACTTCCAAAAAGTATATTTACACAAACCGACGTTCCTAGAATAGTACAGACAAAACAAAAAATTCTTTCACAGAAAAGCTTCCTTTGGAATATATATTTGACTTGTACAGAGGTAGCGATCCAGTGAGAACTATTGCGAATTGAAGTCGTTATTGCTAGACGAGCACATAGCGCTATAATACCTACAATATTTCGTTTAACGACTAACTGGCACGGATGTCTGAAACCATCACGAAATAATAACATTTCCAAATGATACCACATGAATTCACTTTTAGCAAAACTAGTTTGAATAATTTAAACTACCGAATCCCATTCTAGCAGTGCAAGGAAATACGTTGGCATCTCCTCTTCTCTTATATTTGGGTAATTCAGTTACCTGTGCTATGAACGACCTACTTTCAATGGTCTTTAGCTACTTGCGGAGTCGGACTTAGGCTGCCACCCTGGCAAAGAAGAATGTCATTACTTCGAGTACTTTGAGTTTCTCTTTAAATGACTCTGGATCTATTTGCATGCAGTAAGCATCAATAGGGGTTAACACGTTCTGCAAATATATGTACTGGGAATTCATTTACGGACATAACTTACCACTCACTCTTCCTAGTAACTGCATAGCTATTATTAATTACGCAAGGATTACAAATTATTATGAAGATCCACATACCTGTACCACGCGATATGTAACGCCGTCAGGACCCAGTAGCTGGGCGCTTCCGGTCAGATCATCACCGATTTGTGTCGGCTTCGTATCTTCAAGAATAAACGTCTCCATTGGAACACTTTTGAATTAAATATGCCGCTCACCACGGCACTCACAGGGGTATATAGAAGGTATAATTAACAACAACGGTTTTGGAGAATTCACGACCACACACTTATTACAGTTGCAATTTACAGTTGTTGGTACGTTTAAGGCTATTGACGCACCTGCCGAGGTTCACGCATTTCGCTCATAACTCCCAACTGCAACGAGATTTAAACAGCTAACTTCTTCTGTTTTACTGCCGTAGGCGTCTCGTACCCCCGTGCTGTTCTCTCTGGAAAGTTCAGAGTCCGAATGGTGGCCAAGAGCCTGTGCTAGTCGACGGTCCGGCCGTCAATAGTTCAATTAGTTTACCACCACATTGAATAGTTCATGCACACAAGCACACATCGACACAACGAATTGTCATAGACATCTCCGTGGAACGACGATCTCGCGCGGTTTCTAATCTTCATTGATCAGCTCATCGTGTCATTTTTAATGCACCGGTGTCCTAGCTAGCTTTAGTAACTAATAATATCAGCAACAATTGTTGTATCAAACATTTGTGCCATCCCAGTCACCTTATAACTGTTGTCCGCTCATACCGCTGATCGGTTCGCCGTTGATGATACTTTGCAGTAGTCAGTTGGGATTGATCCAATGTCATCCGGCAAGCGGAACTGAGACGAGCTTCTGTGAGCCCGCCTATAATTTACATAAACAAAGGAAAATAAACAACGATTTGTGATTATCTATTATGCATGTTTTTGCTACTTTGAAACTAAAAAAAAGCTTTCAAACAGTTGCCTTTCTTTTTTTAAATTAAACTGGTGCACCGTTATGGGCAGAAGAAAAATAATCTCTATTTTATTTTTTGATTAACATGTATTATGCGCTTATCGCTACACATAGGCAACTTATCTTCAATTATCTGCTGAAGCATTTATTGTTATCATGACTGCAAAGTATAAAGTATTTGTCTTGCTTGTCACATTGGTAGAATCGAGTAGGAAAGCGGCAAAGCCAAGATGAAGCTCAATCATGACAAACAGCATCGTAGTATGAAAAAGTACTGTCACTAATAATAATAATGACAATAATAATATAATATGGGGAAAACTCGGTTCGTTGAAGAACTCATCTCGTGCGGCATAAACACAACCATTACCATCACGATCAAAATTTGTTATCCATAGTCCTCTTCAACCTGCATTGAGGCTTCTCCAATGTAGTTGCAAACAAAAAACAATGTTCATTATTTTACACTACCAATAGGTGTTTAGTGTACCAGTGCGAAAAGACGGCAAAAGTAGCTTGGCGTTCAGCTCACCTTGTTCTTTATCTCTGCATTTTGTACTTTTAAGCAAAACAGTGTAATAGCAGTACGCCACACAAGATTATTTTTCAGTTAAACTCGTCCCAAGAAGCCCCAGAGGCAGTTACAAATCATTGAAATTTATATTTGTCATCTGTAGGCCAGAATATTATAGTGCGGACTATGTTGTGCTTGCAACACCAGCTGTCGCTAGGGGGCCCTTGCGCTAGTGCACGATATGGATTCCGCTATAGCTGTGTGGCAATTCCGTTCACCTGCTTTTGATTATTTTGTATATCTTTGGTATGTATTACTGCGGTGCCGTGTATTGGAAACTGTATTTTGTTCGACCAACACCAATTTGCTGCTTGATGAACAACTCGATACGGTCGTATCGCGCTTTTCTGAACTGCGCACAGAGCCCGTACTAGCAACAGTAATGATTGATCCGGCTATTATTAGTTTATCGTCGCCTTCCGTCATAATTATCCTAGTAAACCGTACCTTACCAGAGTACGCACACATTTGCAGCTATTCCAATTGAAACGAGTGTTTGCTGGCGCCTTTACGTTCGCTTGCTTACTTGCTCGTTTGTTCGTTCGTTCGCGAATGTCGCCGTTGCTGCTATTGTTATTGTTGTTGATGCCGCTGCATCACCCGCGAGCTGAACTCCTGCAGCCGCCCGGAGCAGCGGGCCCACCACAGCCACAACTAGGAGCAGCTCGACTGCTCAAAAGCTCTTCTCCCTCTAATGGTGAACAAGCATTAGCGATGGCTGCTGTTGGCTGACTGCTCGGGTGCCATCAGCACACTGATGTGATCACGGGGACAAACAAGGGTCATGTGACTCGTTAGGAGAAAGGAGAATTGCGCGGGGCCCGCCACGATTTTGGCGCTGGGGCACGAACACGCTACAACTGATACTACTTTTGCTACTAAGCATAACATTGCGAGAGAGGAGGACACTGGTTGGGACAAGAGACAAACCGCACACAGGTAGGGACTGATTCATTAGGGTTCACCATTTCTTATTTACCTGTATGAGACAGGACATAGATTGGACGTACGACGACGGGTTTTGGGACGCATAAAGACTTCCATACACGCACACACGCACGCGCATACATACACATAAAGAGACACACACACATGCACCCCACAAACAAACACCCATAGAAGCACAGAAACGCCGTACTCTGCTACAGTAACAAGGACAGAGGCAGTTTTTAAACTACGACTTGGTGAGCTCCCACTGCTACCATCGCTACGACGGAAACGTAGGCAGTCGATCACTTGGTCTCTGGTAGATCACTCATGCAAGAAGTCTGGCTGGCGGGCACTGATCGGTGTTGTAGGCACACACTACCACTTTCGGCAGTTATATGACTGTGTATGACTCTGGTTGAAGGCTGTGTGTGTTCGTGTGTGTGGCTGTGTATATTACTGTGTCGCTATATTGAGGGCTGTATATCCCAGCTGGTGATTATCACTGTGTATCGGTGTATAAAAAATAGCCTAAGAGAGCAGAAATACCCAATTGCCCTCTCGGCCGCTCGACTACCTACGACAGTAGAATTTTCGAGGAGTAAAGCCTAGAAAAAGACTGCCGACGTGCGCATAGACAACCAGCGTGTTAGAGGTATATCATTTGTTTTAAGGTGAAATTGGCACGTAGTTCACCCATTGCATAATTAATGTGTGTCTGAATACTGTTCTTACGCGTTTAATTAAAACGCGCACGAAAAATGACAGGTCATAAATAGGACGTCTTGTCGATATTGATAGAGGGCGCTACCGTTGTTGGCGCTCTTTTTCAAAACACGCCAGCTGTGAACGTGGGAATTTTGTTCGATTTCGGATAGCTATATTGACGAGCGACTTGAGGTTGATGAATCAGTAGAGTCATATCGTCTTTACGTAACTTTAAGTGCCAAAAGACTCGCCTTTGATGTCGAAGCATCTTTCCGTTTCTGAGATTGTCTAATCTTTCGCCGTCGCTTATTTGTGAGAACATCTCATACATGTTTACGCAAGCTTTAAATGCAGAAGCTAACTGAAGAAAGCAGTTGCGATCCAGAATATTTGTCAGAACACTGGGAGCTCCATAAATAATACTGATATAGCGTATGTGATAATCAGTTGCTTGTACCGTGTGTAACTAAAAACGCCTGAGTCTTTTACTAAGGCTTTTTTTTATATTGGATTGAAGTTTCATATATTTGGAAGATTCGATGGTTCGAAGATAATTCGAGATTTACATCGCAAAAAGTACTGGCAAGATATAGGCATCTTCCGCCTTCACCGGCTGAAATGCTATATAAAGTGATTCTTTAATGGGACTATATGGATAATCAGCAATTAGTGCAAGACAACAGCTTCTTTACGATTTGACGTTCCACAACGCACTGACGGAAAAACAATGGGTAACTATAAAAATCGACGACGAAGTGCAAACCTTCCAGTTCAAACAACTAGACGCTGTGTTGTCATCGGCTGCGGTTTATCCTCGCGGACAGCGCCATCGACAATCAGCTTCCATGCCTTTCCAAAGGGGACAACGGCTTGGGTACAGGCCCAGTGTATTGCATATTTACCAGCAGATGTCGACCTAACAAAAGCTTATATCTGCTCGCGGCACTACGATCCATCCTTTATAAACGTTTCTCGAGTACCGCCATTTCGACGTTTGCTAGCTTCAAATGCCATACCAACGATATTTACCGACAACGCCCAGCAACTACCTCTGTCCCCTGGTAACGTTATAGTGACGGATAGATCGACGGACGTTGACGATCCGGATACGCCCGAATCAGACAATGAGAACAATTCCAGTGTGGTCGCGTTAGCGGAACACGCCAATAGCGCAATGGTGGTACCGCCTCTTATTACTAAACCAATATCACCTATAGCATCTGAAAATGAGTCTAGCTCAGAAGAAGAGGCCGCAGAAGGTGGTGCCTCAGCTGTCATGGTTGAACACACTGCTGCTTGGCAGTATAAAAAGCGGAAGCACATCAGGTTTTTACATAGGCAAGTTCTGGCCAAATCAACGGAGCCCGTAGCCAAGAAACGACATAACTTTGATCTCATAGACGAGGAACAAGAGTTTGAATCGAAATGGGGTCAAAAAATAAGCCGACAATCGCTAAAGTTCACCCCAGTTAGGGAGTCTATTAAAACTGACATTTCTCATATGGCAGACGAGCTGGAGTCAGCCAATACATCAATTGTCGACTTCGTGGCGTCTTTCGCTTTAGTCAAAGCTCAGTGTGACAGGGTAATGCATATCACTATGGAGGTTAACGACAAACTTCCTGTGCAACTTCGAGATGCAATAGCGAAACTTGCCGATACGGTAAACAGCGTCCAGTGGAAAGTTCTGACGCATACAGCCGGAAACAATAACTGTTCTGTTGTGGAACCGCAAATTGAAATCTATCACAGTGGAGTTGTCGCGAAAGGTTGCCAGACTCCTAATGACCACCGTTTTGACGGCTATGTTCGATCGCCGTCTCCAAAAGAAATCTGTGAGAAAGAAATTAGGGACCGCGAAACCCAAGGATCGCTCGAAGCTTACGATTTGTCTCTTTCAGCCAGAAGCATACAGACGTCTAATCATATACGTGATGGCATTTGGTATTGACTTCACACAATGTTTTCTAAAATTATTTGATCGCGAGAAAGAAAAGCCAAATTAAACTCTGAACTAAGCTTCTTCCTTTTTTGGTAACTTTAATCCTGTTTTTTTAGAATGTACGATTTCTCGTCATCGGACGATGATAGTGGTGGCCTTATAATAGGCGGGGAGGATCGAGGCACCTCATTAGCCGCGTCGCTCCCATCAATTTCGTCATTTAACAATTACCAGAAAAGACAGAATAAAAAAAAGGAGATTAAGGAAAAAATGGCAGCATCACCAAGTAATCCGAGTTCTAAAAAGGCTTCTGGTACTGCGAGTTCCAAGCCAGTAAAATCTTCGAAAGTCGTCAAAGTGCCCAAGCCCCCAAAAGTGCCTGCGGCTAAAACGGCTAAGACTACTAAGGCTCCGAAGGCTGCGAAGGTTCCAAAAGCTACCAAGGTTCCCCCTATTTCGAGAGCTTCACAAATTCTAAAGGAATTTCCTGTAAAAGGAACGAAAGCAGATTCAAAGCCGACTCTAACTAAGACAACTTCAACTAAAGCGACGTCAGTGTCTCCCTCCAAACCTCTATCAGTAAAAGTGACACCACCTAAATCAGCATCGGTTAAAGGAAGTCCACCAAAAATGACTCCGATTAAAACTACAGCAGTTAGCCCGAAGGCCTCGAGGAATTCTAAAAGCCCCAAGAAAATCAAAGCTGAACCCAAAGGCGGCCTGAAACTCCGCTTGTCAAGTAAGCAATACAAACATTTCTCAACTATTGTGATCTTATCGTGAATCTTACCACGATAGTAGTAAAAGATGAATACACACACTGCATGGCCTTTTTTGCTTAAACAAAAGTTCTATCTTCAACAGATTTTATGTTTTTCAAAAACCAGAAACAAACGAAAAAAATTCGTCTAATCGAGTACGTGTTGTTTCGTGAATAGTTGGTGGCAATGCTCCTTCAATCGATAACAGCAGCGCATTCGATATAGAGAATATTATCGACCTGGTGGCTTCAGGAGGACTTGGAGGGCTGGATGATGAGGACCAACAATTTCAGCAGCAACATCAACAACAGCGACACCAGTCACCATCTTTACCAGAACAACAGCAGAGACAGCAAAAAGCAAAAAAGCCACGTTCGCCTGCAAAAAATCCAGTCGGTCCTGGGAGTCCAGGAGGTCCCGTTGGACCACCTGGGTTTCCTGCAGGTGTCGTACCACCAAAGAAGCCACGGAAAAAACGGCCAACTTCTGATGCAGTTTTTGATACACAGGCGGCTGCAGCTCGGGCAGCTGCATTGGCCGACGAGGTCATTGCTGCCGTTGCCGCTGAGGTTGAGGTCGAGGGGGGAATAAGTGATGATGACGCCGACCCTTCAACGGCAGATCCTCACCGACTTACCGTTGTGATTCCTGGTGAAAACGAAGAGGAGATCGATGCGATAACAGGATCTCCGCAACATGAGCAAGATGCGATTCAAGTATGCTTTTAGTTATCTTGTTTGCTTGGTAGTTCGATTGCTGAGTGGTTTGGCCTTGGGTATGATTGTCTTAATATAGTGCTTCAACTCACTTTAGTTTACTGCATGTATTCAAAAAAAAGTATACTGCTTATAACCAGGTAATTAAAGTCTTTAATAAGAGCTTACTGGGTATCAGGAGATGATTCACTTATATAGAAAAAAAAAAGCGAAAAAAAAAATTTTTAAATATAGTACTGCGGTAGCGCCAAGGCAATAACTCAGTGGAAGTGGTATGTATGTATTGTTCGGTATAATACAATTTTACTGTGTCTTTTTGGAAGTGGTCACGTAGTTGAGCACTCAATAAAACGTGCGCATTAGGCATTTAGTACTTAGGGTAAACAGGCCAGAAAAACTCCTTTGAGCTTACAATTCTGTGTAAGCAAACAGCGCACCTTTTCTTAGTTCCTAACCATTTTTCCCGTCGTTTTTGATCGTTTATATCAGGGTATGTTGAGTATGTCTGGAACATACTCGTTTGCGGCTACTGCTAGTGATGAGATCAAACGTAGTAAAACGGCTGGAAACTTAGAACGGTTGAAGCAGCGACTCGCTGCCAAACGAGGCATTTTATCCCCTGGGCGCCCCGGTCAACCAGAACGACGCGGTGGGGTCGGGGGTTTGATGGGCCACCAACGGGATGAGGAAGACGAGTTTGAACGAGCACTCAGGAATTGCAGACAAGACGACGATTTCAGTGAGCATTTGATTAGATATTTTAAAACTAGGGATTACGCATAGACACGCATAGAAATGCGTACACCCATACGTGGACACTGTTCGGTGTAGAAAAAATACTAATCTGAATAACTAAAAATTCATTAAAGCAACCTTAAAATTCCGTCTTATATTATGTCACTTTATCTTCGGTTTTATTTACGAAAAAAGTTACTGATTCCTAGAAAATAAGGTGCAACTTTTTTTCTCTTTTTACACTGCCGCTTGCAGTATACCTCGGCATCGACGCCAATGATGATGACTGGAAATCAATGAAAAAGCGTGCAAAAAGTAGTGGTGGTCGTATTAGCACTAGCGGTACCGACCAGACGTGGAACCCCAAAGGCGTGTCTCTGAAAGGGGTTACTAAAGGTGAACAGCGGCCTCAAAGAGAAGGCGTCAAACGCGAAGTAATGGAAAGTACTTTGGCGGAAAGTACGAAATTCGATCCAGCCCTAGAATCAGGCCCAGATGAGGACCAGGTTAAGGCTCCGAAAGTCAAAGGCCCACCTCGTGAAAAGAAGGACCCCGTATCTAAAATGGTTAAGTCTAAGAAGGAAGTTGTTCAGAAGGTCTCAACGGAACCAAAAAGTAAGTAAACGTTAAGTACGTTTAAGTAAACGTTAGGGTAGCAAAAACGGTCTTGATGTGATACAATATGTACGAATTCATGGATATTTTGAACGTGAATAGTTCAGTTTGTTTCAAGCGGCGAAAAACAAGCCAGCTTCTCTGTAACCAATTGAAGCCAGGGTATGGATTAAATTTATTTAATTCATGTACGGTTCCTTTGATTTTATCTGTTTTCACAGTTCGACGACCCGGAAAGAAAGGAATGGCGACGGCTAAGCAACGTTTAGGCAAGATACTTAAGATCCACCGAATGTACCATTAAGAGGACGACGGCAAGGTAGAATGCAAAAACTTTGTTGCTTAATGTATTGCCAACGGTGTCTGCCTTCGTTTAGCGCTTCGCATGACCCGTTCAGTGAACCGACAAATGGCACAAATGAGAATCCAGTTGAGAGATAATAAATTCTCTCAACTGGATAGAAGATACGAGCCAATAATCAGCCCTAATGGGCAGGCCCGTAAAAACTCGACTTTCCTTTAAAACTCCACCGTCTGCTGGTCTGTCACGTCTTATAGTGGTTACAAGGTGATCCGAGATCACTTGTGTCCATTACGCGTCCCTGTATTTACTCGCTTTATTGAATCGTCTTGATATTGCGGTGATTTCACTGAAGTGCCCTATCATGTTTGCTACGTCAGTTCATTGTCATTATTACCATTATATTACATTAAAGACTTTTTGCACATCATTTGCAGTATGGCTGGGAGAAGCGAAAGTGAACGTACCAGCTGTGGCCCACATCATTAATCTGTACTGTAAATTACAGTGACCTACGTAGGATAAATAAATTTTTTAATTAATCTTTTTTTTATCGTACGATCACGTCCATTCTAAGCTATTTACACGCATCATATGTAGGTAGATCTCTATGCGTCTTCGGACCCATTACATTTATGGGATTGATTATCAATTCTGTTGTCTGGTGCTCATGTCTTATGCACCGTTGCATCATACAGCTTATTTATATTTGTTCTTTATAAGGAGACAGGCTGTGGAACTATTTATGCACGATCGTAAATATTTACTTGGTATTAGCGTTTTGGTAAATTCATCACTGTCATATGTGGAATAACCCATCAATCATCGTGTATTTAGGATGCAATTTTATAACTGTCACCACTACGCCAACCACAATATGTATTTACAATGTATTCAGTTTAGCAGTGGTAAAATCCTTAGTTTTATAACCGGAGGATTATAACTGAGCATCGCGTTCAAATATATATATATGCCTCATATCAATTGTACTTATGATAGAAAAACGCTGTGTATGAAGAACACCTTGTTTGCTTTATGTAGTGCTCCTTCGGAAAATGTAACATTTTGTTAGTATAAACCTCATTTGAGTGAAGAGCACTTCCGTTTTTCCAAATGTTTGATCGGCGGCTACAGCATTATCTGCTGTGATCATCATCATTGTTAGCCATTCAATAAGAATGTTGTCGGAACGTTGTGAATTGTTTTGTCTAATATCTGCTTACTATGTAAACCTATTTATCCTAATGGCACGCACGTGATAAGCTCAAATCAACGTTCGTTTTGTCGTTTTCTCCATACAGAGAAAATTTGAGAATATAGAGATATGGCGAGGAAAGAATTGGAAAATGACTAATAAGAATGTGTAGTAGGATGCCAGAAATAAAATAGAATTATGAGCATTGTATATACCCATTTAAAACATTTAGGATGATGAATTACATTGTATACCATTCAGCAGCAGTATATGCGCCACAAATAAGCTAGGTTTCTTCTAGCGGTACTATTATTGTAGTCGTCATCATCGTATTACGATTAATAGTACTCATCGGGACACCAATATTGCTGCGCGGGGGGCTTTCTTAAACCCTCATTATCGACAGTGTCACAGTGTATGCGTCACCATAGTAGAAAGGTGACACTACGAAAATCTGAACATATAATAAAAGATGTTAATAAAACAATAGTGTCCGCTATTATCGTGCGATGCTAGTCTCTTTCATACTCATGTAGTTATTGAGGAGCTAATCCAGACTCCAGGCCTGAGCTGGTTATCCAAGGTGTTGAACGTATTCAATTAATCTTTTAAAATAATCAGGCCCTCGGTTAAACGCGTCTCTAGTTGAAGTGCTGGATGGAGAATTCGAAATGTCTTAGATTTTGTAGTTCAAAGAGACAGCGAAATTGACCCCATGAAGATGACACAGTAATAATCCAAAACTTGACGCAGTGTAATAAAATCATTAGACAGGGCTCTGTAAGTCATCAGCCGTCTAATAAACGCCTGCGAATAGCCGGACTTATGTATATTACTACTGTACTTCGTCTAATACAATGGCTATTTATCCTTGCGTCTTTTGGTGTTGTGTTACAGCCCTAGTGGTTTTTCAAAAATAATTCAAATAGTCTGGTTTATCTTTTCATATTCTAAAGTAAACGCTTTGTGTGTTTTAGAAGGACTTACCTATAGGTTGTAGTCGTGGTAGATAATGCCGAACTCAAGACATATCATTATTTGCTTCGGGTATACATATTACCACATTGTCATAATCTTTGGACAATTTCCGTATTTGTTCTTGGCAAGTGAATCTTTACTGAAGGCATTTAGATTATTATCTCATTAGTGATCGAATATAGGTTTAGTAATGAATATAAATTATCTCAAATCGAACCTGAGCTCCTACATATACATACATGAATTCTAAGTGTTTGTTCCAAATATGGGTTTGATCTGGGTTAAAAATAACGTGCGATTTGTACGTGTTTACACTAATGCAGACTAAACGTCTTCTACGGATATGACATCCGACAAGAAAAAACATTAATTTTTGGGAATATTCCTCGCTGATAATAGCTTCGATAATTAGAAAACTTTATACAACCAAACTAGGCGTAAAACACGTTCTGATAGAAAAATGTTTTAACGCTAGATTTTGTGGATCTCACAAATTCGTTCAGTGTTATGCCTCACAAGGCATGTATGTGTATGCTAATCTCTAGTCCAAAACTAGGCTTTTCTTTATTTCCGAGACACTGATCAATATAAACTAGTTCGAACCAGTTCAGTTTTTGTTTGCAACGATTAAAGGCAATTATCATATTTACTCTTTCTCCAGGCCTCACTTTTTCTTAAAAGATTTTATATAACCTGCACTATTTTCTGCTAGTTTTTTCTCACACGGTACACGCATCAGCCTCACAAATTTATTTTGCGTATTCTTCAACGTTCGTTACTCGTATTTCCGTAATGAGGTATTTCAGTAAGTCAAGAGAGCGGCAAAAACCTCCGTGGTGTGTTTTACCAGATACCTGTATCTCTGCATACATATATTTATATAAACGTTTGAAGTTTTTCGTAGCCGATGATGAGTTAAGCAACAAAAAACGTCGGATTATCTCTTAGCCTTCTCATCGATTCCTTAGCTAACCGAATAAAAACGCGTTGTGGTATGGATTCCCGTGCGGCTTGCTGCTCGTACTGAGTTAGTTCAACTTACGTATTTTCAATCCTAGATGGATCGTCTCACCAACATTTTCCCTCCGTAGCATATAAATTCCAAGGCGTCGCTTTTGTTAACATAGAGACTGCTTTGGTACGGATTGTGCTAGTCCTGGATGGTTATACTTTTTGGGACATGAACAATCCAGTGGCTACCTCACGGCTAAAGTCTTTAGCCCATCGGAACTCCAAACACTGCTATTAACTGTATTGCCATAAATAATTTTAACTTCCCTTTCTCGGCTCGTTTATGTCAAACAGTATTTTCGTCATGTCCACAACTGGTTTCCTAGCTTCAGGCATCATCAACTTGAGGCAAGATAGACTAGTGCTTCTCTATCAAGATACACTACCAGATATCAGGCACTTCTAACCAACCTTATGCGGTTTTCACCTAGCGACATATTTATTGCTGAACTTTTTTGTTTCTATAGCATGCTTTCGCTTTTTATGATGCCGACTAAAGTCAATTCTTTACCATCTGCGCGGAAACTGTTTTTAAGGTACTATACACCTCATCTCCGGCGTTTGTGCGTCCCGCGCCGTAACGGCAATTACTAAGTAGTCAGTATAGTGCCTCACTGATAGCAATAAATTTATGCTCATGACACTTAGCAATAGGTTTTTAATTTAAACATTTTATTATGAAATAAGTCTAGACCCTTAGGGTATGCTTGCCATCTCCATTATATCAGTCCCGCCTCAACGTTTTCGCTATTAAATTCTTTCTGAGAAACTCCGTACTTACTTTAACGAGTCAACGTAGACATCTTTCATTTACCAGTGTGTCAAAAACTTATTGAATACGGTTTTGACATACGTCAAAAACCACCGCCAGGAACTGGCGATACCTGTAGACTTGCCAAAAAATAATCCGGGTCAGGGATACTACATTTTCTATAATCGACTCTCGGCTTGGTTGCATTTCTTTTTACCTAGGATTAAGAAGATTAAAATAGTATGATGTGTGGAGTTCGCTTCATTATGGTACTACTCACTAACCCTTGGTGTTCCAACCTGGTGGAAAAAGCCACCTGGCTTATTTACCGGTAGTAAGTTAGCATTATTACAGCGCGCTTTCTTAGAGTTGCGTGATTCAAGTAGCCTATGAACTCCTTCCCAAACGCTGCCCTAAAAGGCCATTAGATGAATCATTCGATCTGGTCTTCTTTGCTTTTCTTCTCAGCCTTCCCACTTTTTCCCCAGGTACACAATTTGTTCTAGGTATCCTTGTCCGCGCTTCTACTCCGCTTGATAAATGAGCGTCTTTAAAGCAACGTCTTTTACTGTAAGCTGCTCGGTGTAGGCATGTGCCTAATTCTCCCGGCTCCTTACAGTACGTCACATCCCGTAACCGTCTACTGTAGATCTCCCGTTTCGTTAAATATATACAGGTATTCACACTCGCCATGTCAGCCTTTGTGTTTGGAACTATACGTTCTGTGAATATTTGTGTCCGATGGTACGACACTTAACTATACAGGCGTCTATGCTCATAGATCGAAATGGGCTATAGCTTGGTTCGTCCACTCTCCCTCAATCCTTCTTAAGTGTTCAGGTGCAAATAGTTTTGCCCTTTTTTTAATTTCTCATGTGCAGATCTTCTCGCTGCTGTAAGGTCCAGTGCCTTGTCCTGCGCTCTATCGGAGCGCTTCCCAGCAAGAGGGTCGCACAGCAGCATTCCGGCAAGCATCGTCACCACCATTCTCGCTAGCGTTCTACATACCCCTACTATTCAACGTGCGGCGTCTCTTCACGTCGACAAGAATTTCTCCTTATTGCTTTTGGAACTTAACGCTACGTCGTTCCGAACTGAACCGGCGTACAAGGCCGCTAATTTCGCTACAAGGGCCAGATAACCTCGCGTGGTGACTCTTGCGTTTCGTACTTTTGGAAATATGCGCGGTAGGTTCAGATCCATTCTGAGAATTTCTCCAGCCGCGTACTTTGTGTGCGCTGTACCTGTCAGTCTTGCACTAAGGCTTATACATAATTAGTTTGACTGTCCACTTCTAATTAGTCGTGATCATCAGTAAAAGTGGGATGGCCTGGCGAGATGTTTAAACAAGACGGCTGCTGTCGTTCCTGACCACCGTAACCCAACACAGTAAATTATCGTAATATGAACGTTTATTAGTTAAAAGTTCGCTATTTTACAACCTTCATTATCATAACCAGCAGTATGATGGTGTTGTAACTGTAAACATCAATGACAGAAACATTACAGTATGACAGCTATGACAGCCTCATCACAGAAAACAACGCGTCTATGCCCTGAATTCGGCACCGCCTGCCCATCCGTCTCTTTTTTCCTTTGCTTATATATATGCAGTAGAAATGGGCCCGGCAAGCATTTGAGTATTATTTCCGTCACAGTACAGTGATAATGTGTTTATCTATTAATTTTTTTTTTTGAGTAATACTTTTTCAGCCTAACCCTGCACCACAAAGGGACGTCTTTTTTTGGTGGACAGAGTGTATTAGATAAGATTTACTCACTCAATAAGTTAAAGGATAGAATTTAATAAAAAGCTTGAAAATGGACGTAACTGAATTTCATGTTGTGTTGGGAGTCAGCCAATCGTCGAAAGCAATGTTCTATCACTGAACGTTAAACTGAAAACATTTCACTAGCGCTTCAATAGAGTATGAATTTGACCGTTGCCCTGAGCCCGCCCGCGCTTCCGCTACGGTCGTCTGCTCACCCCGTCTTCATCTTTACTCCAACGTAAGGTTCTGCCGTTGGTTAGCAGTGCCGGCGCCGCGAAAATCGCAACACTTTCTCTCCTCCGCGCACTTTGTCGTTTTCTTCCTATACACTCCCACGATTGGTCGCCGCGCGACCGATTTGATTTGCACCAGCGCCCATTACAACAACAAAAACAACATTGATGATGTTTTAGCCTCCAAACTGCTTCTGCTATGTTAGCGAGCTTTGGCAGACGATAAAGGCGCGCCACTCGCCTTGTACACTAGAACCGTCATCAACAATAAAACAGCTAGTAGCATCTTCAGCAGCCAAGAGGAAACCGAATATTTGACTAACGACGACGCCAAAAACACCCGCCACATCCATTGGTCGGTTGCCTGCTCGCTTCGATGGTTAGTCAACTGTAGTTCGTTGCTTCCAAGATGGCGGCCTATGGTTTGGTACGGACAGCTGCCTGCGCCACAGCTACTCGTTGTTGTGAACCAAATCAATGGTGGTGCTGCTGTTGTTGTTGTTGTTGTTGTCGTCTTGTCGCAGCTGCTCCCGCTACTGCTGGGGCCGCTAACACCCAGCGGTAGTCGCTCGGTGGGCAGCCCGTAGCTGACTGACTTTGCCAGCACTTGTGCTGCTTCTGCAGCTCGCTCTTTATCGGCTAACTGTTGTGCTTTGGACGACTGTTTTTATGCTGTTACGCTGACGATGCTGCAAATGCTAAGAGTGTGGGTCTCAGTTTATCCGTCTGCTAGCCACTGCCGCCATCGTTGCGTCTCTTTCCCTCTCTTTCTTCCTTTGTCTGTGGCTTTGTTTTGTGCGCTAGCTACGAATTTTTTCTACCCACTTATTGATGACGGCATGATGCTGCTGTAAGTAGTGCGCCCGTGTGGCCGGCTGTCTGTAGTTTAGAAGCTGCTCGTGCTGTTGTTAGCGGCGGTATCGTCGCCGTTGATGGTGGCGGTGGTGTTGGTTGATTCTGCTGCTGCTGCTGGCGGCAGCAGAGAGGGCCTTCCTGCTCCGACTGCTCTACTGCTACCGTTCCTGTAATAGCAGCAGCAGCAGCATAGACTTCTCGCCCCTGTGGGTTCGGTTCAATTGGAACGGCCGTGAGGCTGTGTCGGTTGTTGTTGTTATTGTTGCTGTTGTTGGTGGCGGTGCTGTGCTGTGCTGTGCTGACGACGGCAGTGGCTGTGCTGTCGGTGGTACTCGTTCGGAGGCAGCAGCAGCCTAAATTTCGCTCACTGCTGGCTGGTAGCGGCGCTGTATATGTGCTACGACGGCTCGTGCTGCTGTGGCCGTGTGGTGGTAGTGGTGATCGGTTGATGGTCGTCGTCGTCGCCGCCGCCGTCGTGGGTTGGTCACTGGACGGACTGCGGCCGCAGGCTCTCGTGCTGCTGTTGTCCGCTGCTGCTGCTGCTGCTGTTCAGCTTTCGGCTCGTTCGCTTTTGTGGCCGCTGCTGTTAGTGGCGGTGGGAGGCGGTGAGTGTGTGAGTGTGTCGTTGTGGCCGTGTGCGGGGCGCTCTGCTGTGCCATTGCCTCCCTTCGCTCGGCGGCAGCTGTAGCACCAGTCGTAGATAGAGCCGCCGAAGACTCCGGTTCGACTCCGCCGGCGGTCGGCGCTCCCGCGACGCGCTCTCGCGCCGAGAGCCTCATCGCTTAGTCACTGCGAACTGACAAACCGCGAACCGTCAAACAGTTGGACTAGAAAATAATGTTTCGCCAAGCGAAAGCTGCCGCAACGCGGTGACACGACAGGACAGGGACCTTATTCGTTGTGATGAGCCGTTGTGAGCCAGAAGTCGTGCGATTGTGAGTGTCTGTGACCGAGCGGAGTATTGCGTATCGATGTGTATGTTATGTTTTGCTGGTGTTCTGTTTTACTGTTACTGACGCTGCTGCTGTAGCCCGTAAGAGACGAAAGGAAGGCCTAACGTTTTGTCGTTATCGTCGACACAATTCACGGGTGCCCGGGCGTTCCGTGAACGGTGGCCGAGCAACTCGTCCTAGCTCAAGGAACGGCCTAGCCTCTCGCAGGGCCACAATCACGGAGACACAGAAGCAAGCAAGCAGTTGTAGCATATCGCTAGCCATTCATACAGACATACATATATGTATATATGATATCTATTTACCGATATATGTATGTATATCTGAAAAGGATAAATAGACACACAGACACGTTAGATGTCGGCCGAAAAGGATCTCTAGCTGGCCCTTCTAAAGCTAAGCTTACTCTGTTACTGAGTGACTGACTGCTTTTTGGCTAACAATAATGTCGATACGACAACCATTTCAACTATCAATGCTACAGAACGGTGATAAACAAATCCAACACGACACGAAGTACAACAAAAACAACAGTTGCCCCCAAACACATACACATAGTCTACAAGCAACTATATCTGTCGAAGACTGGCCAAGTATATAATGGCGTACCAGTGATACTACCATAACTAGTGGTACCATTATTTATTATCGAACCACTCTGTGATTGATTTGATTGCGCAAGTGGATATATATGTTATATATATACACACACACACATATATATATATATATTATATATATATATATATATTATATATATATATATATATACATGTATAT